ATTGCGATTTTCATTTCGCGTTGCGATTCTCGGTTTCAAATAGTCATTGTCTAAAATTGAAAATTGAATGAATTGCATTACTTCAACCAAAAGTCAAAACAAAGACAAATACTAACTTCACGGGGTTAAAGACTAAACAGTTTAGCAGTATTGGCAGCAATCGAATGAATTTAATAAGCAATCTAAGTGAAATGGTTAATCTATTATTGAAATTACCAGTAAACTTATCATCAATTTCAATATGAAAAACCTAATAATAATGCAAAAATTTCAAAATAAAAATAATTAAGAAAACTAACCCTCGGTGGTTGATTTTCCATTTTTGACTGTGAATGATTGTGAGGGTGGCTCTGAGAGATGGAGATAGACGAATTTCGTCGGAGATGGGGACGGATTTCGTCGGAGATGGGGACGGATGTTGCCGTAGAGAGTGAGAAATGGAGATATGACTGAGTTGTGATTTAGAGTTTTAGGTTATGAGTTGCGATTACGGGATATATTAATATTCGTGTTTAGAATTTGAAAATAAAATACGCGTTGCGATACTAATGGCGCTTTGAAAATCGCATTGTGATTTTGTATTATCGCGTTGCGATAGTCAGAATCGCGTTGCGATTTTGTATTATCGCGTTGCGATAGTCAGAATCGCGTTGCGATTTTGTATTATCGCGTTGCGATAGTCAGAATCGCGTTGCGATTTTGTATTATCGCGTTGCGATAGTCAGAATCGCGTTGCAATTTACATATTCACATTGCGATAGTCAGAATCGCGTTGCGATTTACATATTCGCATTGCGATAGTCAAAATCGCGTTGCGAATATGGAAACTGATTTGCGATATTGGATATCGCGTTGCGATTTAGAGATCGCATTACGATTTTGTTGGTCATTTTGGTAAATCAAAAAAAAAATTGGTCAAAATCATATATTATAAGGTATTTTCGATCGCTGAAGTTATTTTCTCTTTTTTAAAATGGCTATTGGGGCGGCTAACTAATTTTTAATTACAACGTTGAAATTATAGTTACATAAATTCCTATGCAGTTGGGGCTCCACGCGTTGACATTAGAACGATGCTGTGATGCATGTAGTGGGAATAATGTCAATCCCTTCGAATTAATGTCAAATATTGGTTTGTCAGCTAAATCAATACCTCGAATGTAAAAAATTGTTACCTTAGTTCATGCAACATTGACTATGATATATATATTTCACTCCAAAATATCGCTATCAACTGTGGTAATAGCGGCGGAAATTCTTTGTCATATATAATAAATGGCAGTCCCATCCAACTGATGGGTCTTATTCTATCTATCGTTGGACCAATCAGTCAGGGAATACAACAAAGTACAGAAATGAAAGCTAAAGCAAAAATATTCATTTAAAAACACAAAAAAAGTATTTGACTTTCGTCACTAACCAAAGCTACATTGAATCATACTCGTTGAATTTACGAGAATCCTATAAATTACTTTATATGGCTCAACATTTTATAGTCTTTAAACTTTTTCCAAGTATTTTGGATAAATTCGTGGCTGGCACGATTAATGTTGGCTAAATTCGGCAGAAAGTATATCGATTATAAGTTTAATAAGAAACTATTATTCCAATACTTAATTAATTAATAAAAGATATAAATAAAAACTGTTTTAGCATTTACAATTTCATTTTCTATTCTATATTACAGCTTTCTATTTATAAAGGAAGGGAAAGAAAAATGATTTTTATGGTCAAATTCTGGTTTTAGTCCTTCAATTAAATTTTTAATCTTCATGATTGGAGTTAATGTAATTTAATTGTATTATTCTTAAACTATTTTTAATTATTAAATCTCACATTTAAATCTAATAGAAAAACCAAAACCATGATTTGACAAATTCTTTTGTTCTCAACTATGCTAAATCAAACACGTTTAATTAACATTTGTAGAAAATAATTTATTAGACAATAAAGCATCCCGTTTGACGAGTATTAAATTAATAAAAACATTTTTTCCCTTAGAATATTTCTTTATAAAGAAAATTGTTGAGGAGATTTTAATTGACTAATCCTTTCAATACAACCAAAGGCTAAATCTGATTATAAGTGATAGCAGGAGTCGTCTACTGTTGCAAGAAACAGGCACCCAATTTCAAAATTTTCAGGCAATTTAATTACCAGGAAAAAAATTCAAATCCACAGCCTTGGAAGTTGTATCTATACCAGCAAAAAAATTTATTTAAAATTAAATTGATTGAAATAGAATGCGAATATTAAGTATAAAAATTGATTATGTATTTTGTTAAACATGCTTAAACTATTTTTTGTTGTTGTTGCGTAATGTATGTTTTAAACTTGTACAATTTAAACCTTGCAAATGAGAAATCGAATATTTTTGGAACATAGACGTATTATAATTGTCTTGATTTATTAACATAAGATATGATGGGCAGTTGAATAGTGACAAAAGAAACCATAATTTCTGGTTCCGGAAGAAAATTTAATCAAAGTAATCGTTTTGACACGTTAGGTGTGATTCCAACTGAAAAAATTTATGAAATTCTAAAAGAAATAAATGGAAAAAGATGTACAACCAGATCCAATGGTTTGACCAAAACTAAAGTAAAGAAAAAAAAAGGTTGAGAATATGTAATGAAGGTCAAGCAAAAGCTAACCACTGTCCATAGTGGGTGGGTGGTCAACTACATACTACAATTCCTTGTTTTAGCTTCAAAAGGGAAAATGATGAAAAATCCTCAACCCAACCCGTGCCTAAAATTGTAAGGTTGAAAGTAAAGACACGAACATGGATTCCATTCACATCACATGCCTAGAAGCTGGATACCCACAATATCAGTAGCAGACTATAGATATGCTCCAATCTTCGTACGCTCGATTCTGTTCAACATTCATGGTAAAACAGGCACCGTTATTATAGTACTAAGGTCAATGACTTGTCATTATGAAAAATAACAGACCAAGATAACTACAGAATTATGAATGGCTTTTTCTTTAACTAGCTTTTATGATTTCTTTAATTATGTTCTTTTTGAAAAAACTTTTAACTTCGTTGCTTAATTGTCGGACTTCAACAACCACTGAAATTGCTTTTTCGAATCAAGCATAGCGAAAACGTGAAAAAGGAAATTCTCGGATTCTATAAATGGAAGTTACCGAGCAAAACCAACTCACTTAAAACAAAATCCACTTTAACGTGTGTTGTACGTGTCCACATGTATTTTTCTTTTTATTATTTAGTATTTTTTTTTGTTTTATACATAGATAATTTCAGTATATAAACGTGAAAAATTAAATAAATTTAAATCTTAACTAGATTCATCATCGACATAAAAAAAATTATATGTTTATAGAAATCAACTAGTTTTATTAAAAATGAAAAATATCAAGAGTAACAATAAATATTTACTAGCATAATCGTAAATGTAAACTAAATTATAATTAGGACATTTCATTATAATTATTAACACAAATATTAATCACCTAGATCACACAACGATCATAAAAGTAAAAAGTTAAAAACATAACCAATGCTCGAATAAAATAAAGATACGAACAAATATGACTGCATCTGTAAACAAACCACAAAAGGGGATGAAACTATTGAAAGATCACTGAAAAATCGTAAATTAGAGTCAAACGACGTGAGAAAACTATCCATCAGCGCAAAACTCGTATATGAATCAATCCGATGGTCAAAAGCAAGGAAGATCAACATGATAACAAATAAGCGCCATCTTGATCAGTCGTGGTGATGTTAAATCCAACTCTGTAAAAAAAGATAAACGAAAAAAATGCAAAAAAAACCTTAATCTACCAAAAGACATAGAAAAATGTGTCATAAAGACAAAGATAAACGTGTCATAAAAGCAAAAAATATGTTACAAAAAATATAATTATTCTTATTAAAAAATAAAAAAATAAAAAAAGATAACTAGTGGGCAACAACCAACATCAAAATCGATGCCGCCGCCGGTCAAACAAAATTAAAGAAAAAAAAATTGAATTGATCAATAAAATTGACATAAATTATAAAGAAGAGAGAAAAAAGCAGTTAGCAGAAATTAATTATTCAATTTAGTTGTGTATAAATTTCATGTAAATAATAATTATTCTTGATTTATCCAAATATGTTTTTAAAATGTTTTTTAAATTTAAAATTAGTTACATAAAAATATATAGTTTATCAAAAGAGTTCTTTCTTTAGAATTAATCTTCAAATTCTAGTTTTGCCACATATAAATTTTTATCTAGAGTAATAATTATTACAATAATTTATATAAGGAATTGTTTTAAAAAGTAATTTTTGAATATTAAATTAATAGTATGATGAAAAATATAAAATAATTTTGACTATTCAAAAAATTATTTACAGTTAACCCTAATTTAATACGACAATTAACCTATGATGACCACATCTTAATTAAATTAATAAGAAAATGACTATATCTTAATTAAATGAAAATAAAAGTGATCGTAATTTTTTTTTTTTGAAATCGAAGAGAAAAGTAAACAAAGCGCAAACATAAATGATCAATCGTGCAGTTAGTCCTAATTTATATAAGGAATTGTTTGGAAAAAAGCAATTTTTGAATATTAAATTAATAGTACGATTAAAAATATACAATAGTTTCGACTATTCAAAAAAATTATTTACTGTTGTACTTTTATATAGGTTGTTTACTGTAGATTTTAAAAATTCAAATTGATAATTTAATTATAAAAATGTATCTAGCTGAACTATATATGAGCCCGACCCAAACGACCCAAGAATCTCATTGGGCCACCCGATTTTGGAGCAACTGGCGGAGGGAAAAAATTGATGGATGCCCAAATTTATTATTCCAAACTCCTGAAGTGAAATTAATTCATGGAGACGTTTCTTGGAAACAAAATTGGGGACATGTATTTAATTCTCAATTGCAGCATCTACATGGAATCAGCTCAGCCATGAACCCATCCTCAAATATTCACCATTAACAATCAAAAACCAAACTCTCTTTCGAATATGAACTAGAGACAAACAACCAACTACGACCCGACCCTTCTTACAAGATCATATGCAACTTTGAGCTTATACTATCTGTAGCTGTCTAATATTAGCATGTTAGAGTTAAGGTAATTAGTTTTTCCTTCTTCTTGTTTGTTTAGTTGCCGATCTTTCTATTCTTGATCATGCAAAATTCTTTTTAACCTTTTAGTTTTTTTATATAAACTGGATCATCTGAGATTTTTGTTTGCCTCACTTCTTTTTCGTCAACAACTTGTTATTTTGTTCTGACTATAAGTTTTTTTCATCATGTAGATGGAAGATGGTTATGAAGAGGACTTTATAATCTCGCTTTGCCTGGATCATTGAATGATATTATCGGAATTTGAAGTTATTTGTTGTGATGTCTAGAGAAAAGCGAGGTTTAAGGTCTATTTTACTTAAATTTGGGGTTGTTGTTGCCATCTCTTCCGCTGGATTGCTTTATGCACGAATTAGAACCAGAAAGACCAAACGGCATTTGCCTTCTCCAACTCTATCACGGCGTGTTTCAGGTTTGTCGTTTAACCTCGTGTTTATTCCTCTTGGATTTGACGAATTTAATTGCGTTCCGAACTTTGTTATTGTTTTGATTCTCCAGATTGTTGCAGTGAGGAAGTTGGTGATTGTGCTGAAGCCGATGTTTCGGACTTAAGGATGGCACCAGCTTCTGGTCCTGTAAGTTTCCTTCGATAGTAAAGTATAAAACGTTTAGGACACTCGGTGTTGTTTAAATGTTAGAATGACATTTCACAGTATGATTATATGCTTCCATGGATCGTAAAGCTGTAAAGGAAAATCTGCTGGTTCTATTTCCCTGAATATGTTATTTTGGTTTACCTCTAGCAGAAAGAAATATCGGCTGAAAAGGATGATGATGATGAGCTAGAGATCAAGCGCCTTAGAAAAATGGTAAGAATGCTTGAGGAGAGGGAGAGGAATCTCGAGGTCCAGATGCTGGAATATTACAGCCTTAAAGAACAAGAGGCAAAGGTCCTGGAGCTCCAAAACCAGCTGAGAGAAAACAATATGGAGGCTAAGCTTTTTACTCTCAAGATTGCATCCTTACAGTCGGAAAACCAGAGATTAGAAAATCAGGTTGCTCATCATTCAAAAGTCGCAGCCGAGCTTCAGGCTGCTAAATCGAGAATTATTGTGCTCAAAAAGAAACTTCGGCACGAATCTGAGCAGAATAGAGAGCATATTCTGAACGTTCAAAAGAGGGTTGCTAAATTACAGGAAGAACTCAAGGCTCCTGTGGATAATAGTGATATTGAATCAAAGTTAAAAAGGCTAAAGGATTTGGAAGGCGAGGCAGAAGAGTTGTGGAAATCTAATACCAGGTTGCAGATAGAAAATTCTGAACTGGCTCGGAAGTTGGAGTCAACCCAAATCCAGGCAAATTCTGTTTTGGAGGTACTCAGTTCATGTGTGTTGAATCCTCTTCCTTCATATTGTTATTAATATTTTTGTTCTTGGTTGCAGTCAGAAGTAATAAACAAAAAGCAAGAACGTCTGATGCTAGAAAATGAAGAGTTGAAGAAGCAAATTGAACAGCTACAGGAAGACAGATGCAGTGATGCGGAAGAGCTGGTGTATCTCCAATGGGTGAACGCTTGCTTGCGGTACGAGCTGAGGAATTTTCCACCCATCCCCGGTAAAACAGTTGCTAGAGACCTCAGCAAAACCCTAAACCCGGAATCGGAGGAGAAAGCCAAAAAGCTAATACTTGAATATGCGCACACACAAGAAACGGGGGATAGAGGCACGGATTTTGACTTTGATCATTGGTCAGCCTTCTATGGTTCCGACAACGGCCAAGTAGATGATTCTACCACATTCGGGAATTCACCTGCCAAGAAAACTCCCAACTCAAGAAAAACAAAGTTTTTAAATAAACTTGGGAGATTAATACTGGGAAAAGTTGGTTCTGCATCATCAAGGAAAAGTGCTGCTGATTCTCCCGCTTGGAGTTCAGGTAGAGGGATCGATTTCGTAAACATGGTACAAAGCAAGAGTGATAGATGGTTTGCTACACCATCGGATACTTCATCTTCAGCCACATTTGATGTTGATCAAGTCAAGGCCGTTGATAAATTCCGAAGGAACAGCGACCTGGGCTTCTATGGATACAGAAGATTCGGATCAGCCAGGGATGATGCTCTAGAACCTCAACTCCATCAAGGTTTCTATTCCCATCAGAGATCCGACGTTATGAAGTTTGCGGAGGCTTTAAAGCAGTCGGGAACAGAAAGACGACAGATTCACAAGAGAGCATCTAGCATTATGTAATTTCTAGTTTGACCCAATGGCTTGTAAAAGACTTCAAATTCTCCAAATAAAAACGCATCTCCCTTTTCTCTTAATATTCTTCTAGGTTCACATAGTTACTAAATTCAAGGATCAAGCTAAAAATATGTCAAGTTCATATATTAACAGTTATTTTATCTCTACTTAAAAAAAATTTAAATCATTTCTCGATTGGGTTTATTGAAATTTTCGATTAACCCTAAACAAATTAAGGGTTGTTTGTTTACTTCAGAATGATTAAGCGCTGAATGATTCAGAGACTTTGTATGAATTAGCTCTGAATGTGACTGTGACATCCCAAAATATGGGTTAGTGATTAAATTGTAAAGTTTCAGAATTTGGTGATTAAAGTAAGATGATTGAATAGTTCAATGATTTGTTCGAAAATATTTCCTAAAAGTTTATAGTAATTATCCAAAGAATTAAAGGGCAAAATGGTCATTTAGCATGAAAGATATTTTTTCTCCAATAAAATGAATGAATCACATGGGGGGTGGGGGAAAGAGTTATCTGAAAACTCTTTCTTCTTCTTTTTTTCTTCTCCCAACCGTGGAAGCTAGGCAAAGGTAAGGGTTTTCTGATTTGTTGATTTATTGTTAAATTAAAGGTTAGGTTTTGATCATTAGATGATAACTAAGCTTAAGGAAAGCTTAAGTTGTCTTATAATCAAAAGATGAAAAAATTATAATAGATTTAAGAAAACGAGTTTTTATATGAAATTATGGGAAAGAGTTGATAAGTTGAATTTGAAGTTAAATTTGGCTTGTCATCATGTTAATTAAGGAATATGAAGTGTTAGAATTGTATTTAGAACATATTGAAATTTGAGTAAGATTCTTGAATTACATATGAAAGATAGAATTTTGAGGTTATGGATGGTTTTCATGGATATAAGTTGGTTTAAGTAATAGTAGTTGAGTATAATGACATGATAGGGGTTTAAAATAGAAGAATTGAGTGAAGAATTGATGATTTTCGGGCTTAAAATACAATTTCTGGGAATAGGGAACCGATACCCTATGAAGGGGAATCGATTCCCCTTCTTGAACGAAAAAATTTCCAGTATGTTCAAGGGGTATCGATTCCCCATGGGGGGGGGGAATCGATTCCCCTAAAGGAAAAATGAAATTTGGTTCAATAATCTGGCTTAAGTTGTTAACATCAAGGTTAAGGTTTAGGCTTCTGATAGTTGTTTTGAAATGTTATATTTATGTAGATATTGAGCCTAAACAAGTTCTGGAATAATCAAAGGATTAGAATTGATTCAAATCAAACAAGGCTAAGGTGAATGCAATTTTAATTGTACTTATATTATTGAACGAACATTGGCTTGCGATGAGCTAGTGACGGAGTTACTATGGTAAGAAGTGAATCCTAAAATGTTATTTGATTTGTGATGCATTCAAAACATTATATATGGATGTTTTATATATCATTGGGAAGTCTTTTTGATAAGTATATTTCCATGTTTGAATGCATAATTCCATAAGCACAAGCATATGATTGATATGGATATTATGTGTGCATGAGTACATGAAAGTGGGCATATGTGTCTTATGTTATTTTATGTGACATGATTGATGTGAACATATGAGAATAAAATATGAGATACGTGAAATTAATATATGTGAATACATTCATATGTGAGCAAGATATAACATATGTGTTTACATGAACACATGAGAAATGATATAATCTATATGATATGATCTACATGATTACATGCACATATAATACATGTGATATGATATGAACCTATGTGAAATGGGTTATATGAAAGGGGATCTATGAGATCATACGAGAATGTTATACAATGATCTATGAGATCATACAAGAATGATACAAGTGATGTGAACAATAATAAATGATAATGCCCATGTTATGTGATATGAGAGCTAGTGGTATAGTTGGCATGCCAGGAGTCGAGGGTTACATATGTCTTATAAGACATATGATAGGTCCTACGGGACACAGATTACATCCTTCGGGATGACAGGTCTTTCGGGACACAGATGACATCCTTCGGGATGATAGGTCCTTCGGGACATAATTTATACGAGTTGTGGTGACAGCATATGTGTGCACAACCTCAATGTACTCACATACCTCTATTCTCAATAATATACATGGGCAATACAATTGAAAGATAAATTAAAGTGAAAGTGATGCAAAAAGATAAGTTGCATGTGTGCATGACATAGTTATATATATATATGTCATATGAAATATGTACATGTGTAACATCCTCCATGCCGGGTTAGTGATTAATTTACAAAGTTTCAACATTTGGTGATTAAAGTAGAATAATTATATAGTTTAAAAAAATAAAGGTTAGTAAATATGAAATGAAGGTGAGGACCAAATGGTCATTTGTAAGGAAAATTTTAATAAAAAAAATGTTATGGGGATATATGAGAACCCACGTGGAGTATTAGGTTTCCAAAACCCTCCCATTTCTTCTTCCTTCTTCCTTATTTTCTTCTCTTCCTTCTCTCAACGTGGAGCTTGCAAGTAAAGGTAAGAATCTGAACCTTGGTAGTTTCTTTGATTTTTTAAGATTGGAAATGAAAGTTTGGATGTTATATAAGCTAAAGGAAATCTTATATGAAATTAAAACAACAAGATAAGTGTTTTAGAGATAGATTTGGAAAATGAGTTTTTAGATGAAATTTTGATATGGATGAGTTTTTGATGTTTGAATCAGATTTTTGACTTGTCAATAAGCTAATTAAGAAGTATGAAGTCATGGAATTGAAATTAGAACAAGTTGGAATTTGAGTTAGATTCTTCAATTCTATATGGATGAGTAGTTTTCTTAGTTTTAGAGGTATTGAATGGATAATAATTAGTTTAAGTAAGTGTATGAGAGCTAAGAGTATTAAAGGGATTGAAATATGTATGTTTGAGCTGAAATGAGATGATTTCCGGGCTCAAAATAGGATTTCTGGGTTAGGGGAATCGGTACCCATTCAAGGGGAACCGATACCCCCTCAACGAAATGAATTTCCAGAATACTAGAGGGGAATCGATACCCCCAGGGGGGAACCGATACCCCCTCATCGTATTTGAAATTCCAGAATGCTTGTGGGGAATCGATACCCCCATGGGGGGAACCGATTCCCCCATGAGAAAAAAGAAAGAAAGAAAGAAAAGAAAGCAAGACTAAGCTATAAATTCTTTAAATTAGTAAGCTATTAAAGCTTAATTTCAAGACATAGACATCTGATGATCATCTTGAAAAATTATGTTTATGTAGATACCGAGCCTACTCGAGTTCGGGAACAATCTACAAGTAGAATCGATCGAGGAAAAGGCAAAGAAGTATAGGTGAGTGCATATGCATAGCATGAATATAGTAGTATATTCAGTGCTAGACTTGTGATAAGTCTAGATTCCATATTTTGACATATGATCACATTCCATATTATGATACATGACATGAATTTATATTAAATGTATTACATGACATGAATTCATATTATATGTATTACATGACATGAATATGCAGAAAAAGTTATATGAGCTATGTGATAAAGGTATGTAAATGATATGCCTATGTGATAAAGGTATGGAAATACTATGTCTACGCGATATGAACTACGGGAAATGTAAAAGCCCATGTTATGTAGATGAGAACTATAGGTATAGTTGGCATGCCAAGGGTAGAGGGTATACTCGGTTCTTTAGGACATATGTATATCCTTTGGAACCTGTGTGAAGTCTTGAAAGACACATACTTGATCCATAGTATATGTATATGATTCTTAAGGAATTCTATGTGGTCCTTATGGACATCATTATATGGCACTACGGTGCAATTCTACGGGCACTTCGGTGCAATTCTACGGGGCACTTCGGTGCATTTATACGAGCTGTGGTGACAGCATAGTGCACAACCTCACATTACTCAAATACCTTAGGTTCTCAATATGCTATCATGGGCCAATAAACTTATTAAATATAGATTCATGAATGTTACAGTCATACGCTTACAGGTATGGATATTGATGAAGTATACTACATTGATTAAGTACATGTTTGCATCTCATCTCATATGATCCTGACATTTTCATTACATTACATTGCCTTGTTATTATTATTGCCTCACTAAGTCGATGACTTAGCGTGTGAGTGTTTCACACGTAGGATCCGAGGAATTAGACGAGACAGGTGAAGCAGCTTGACAGTATTACTCCTGCAACCATCAGATCAGAAGCAACTTAATCAGTAGGTCATTTTGTTATGTAAATAGCAGTTGGCATGTAATTAAAGGGTTAAGTTGTGTATGCTCTGAATATTTTGGTAAACTTATATTACAGTATGTATATTATTGTATTTTCTTAATACAAGTTCAAATATTTTACTATTATTTATTAAGAGTTGTGTTTTAAAGTCAATGTAGTATCTCTGACTCATATCCGGGTCGGGTATGGGTTGGGGGTGTTACATTTAATGGTATCAGAGCTATGGTTTAGCCGATTCTAGGCATAAACCAGAGTCTATGGAGTCTTTAAATGGAATACATGCCAACAAATAGCGAGAACTTCTGATCTGGTATAGTATGAGTATGCTGTTTTGCTAATAGAATAATGTGTTTATTCTTATTAGATGTCCGGACATAATAGCTCCCGAAGTGAAGCGGGAGAAGATAGGCATGCTGAAAGCAGTAATTCACCTGCCCTGGCCAGGCAGAGTGAAGAACGAGCATCTCAAGGAGTGCCTGTGCAAGATCAAGATACGTTCTTCAGAACGTTAGACGCTATTCTGACGCGTCTTCAACCTCCTGCTCCACTAACTCCAAGAATTAATGTAGCAAAAGAGTTGAGAAGTTTAGGAGCTCCCGAATTTAAGGGAGAAGCTGAGGAAGGTCCAGTGTCAGCGGATCTTTGGTTGAATGATTTGAAAATCATGTTAGATGGTCTCCACTGTTCCGAAGTGGAGAAATTAGATGGAGCTGTGTCTTTATTGAGGGGTCAGGCGAGGATATGGTGGACGAACGTCACCATGAGGATGTCAACCGACCAGTTGACTTGGTCTTTGTTTTTAGAAGAATTTG